CGAAGCGGACGTCGAGGCGAGCACAGAACACGAGGATTATAAACGAGGCAAGTGAGCTCCTCGCTAACGACTCTGCCTCCTATGAGAAGCTCAACTCCATATATTAGAGGCTGAAGGCTAATAACGAAGAGCTTAAAAACCTGAACAACGAGATTGAGCCGCATATACCTGACGAGGAGTTCGAGGTCGACTATAACGCTGTCTTACAATACGAGGACGTTGCTACGCGCATTCTCGCTGAGATTCTCAGCAAGAAAGATCGCATGTTAAGGACATCGACCGGAACTCAAGAAACAGTTGCCCAGACAGTCGTAGCACCATCAGACGGAACTGGAGTTAAATTGCCTAAACTGACAATAGCTCCTTTTTTTTGAGATATATGCAAGTGGACCGAATTTTGGGAACAATTTTACCAAATTGTTCATAGTAACAATCGCATCACTGCCACAGAGAAGTTCCATTACCTGCGACTGTATCTTAAAGGAGACGCTGCATCAGTAATTTCGGGCCTTCCGACGACAGAAAGTTGCTACAGTGACGCCATCAAAATGCTACAGAAGCGATTTGGGGACAAGACGCGCCTGGAGCAAGAATATTTTGCCAAGCTACGGATGTTAAGCCCTGTCCGTGCATCGACTGACACCAAAGCGCTACGCAGCTTGTACGACCAAGTTCTCGTGAATATCCGAGGCTTACAGACTTTGAGTGTGCACAAGTCGTCATTTTCGTCAATGCTCTGCGACATCCTACTGCGTGCTCTTCCACGGGATATAGTCGTGCAGTATCATCGATCATGTGCCGTCCAGTTGGCATATGACTCGAGAGCTGAAGCTACACCCCTGGGACTAGACCGTGTGCTGAACTTCCTGTGCATCGAGCTGGAAAGCCTGGAGAAGAGTGATTTTAAGGATGCCAAAGGACGAGAACCTGGAACACTCCCCGTGGCCAGTCAGTCGACGTGCTCTCGGCTTGGGAAGCCGACGTCATCTGTGCTTCACAGCAACTCGGTACGAGAAAAAAAAGGACAACTGCGTATTCTGCTCGTCCAGCCATCACAGATCGGAAGCCTGCATAGCTGACTTGTCACTGACGCAGAAGAAGGAACTGCTTTCCAACGACAAAAGGTGTTTCCGCTGCACCACCAAAGGACATCGGGCACGGGACTGCAAAAAGAGGATTTCCTGCTCCAAATGCCAAGCTCGACACGCTACAAGCATGTGCAATCCCGATAGGTGTTCGCGAAAGTCAGACTACGTTAACAAGAACTACGAAAAAACTTCGACAGTCTGTGCGTCACTTGGAAGAAGACCCGTCACGGAAGACTCTACCACTTCCGTTTTTCTTAAGACTTTCAGAGCATGGGCCATGAATGATGACACCTGCTGCTACATACGAGGCGTTTTCGATGGTGGCAGTCAGAGGACTTTCGTAACTGAAGATCTGTCGAAGCACCTCAAGCTGAAAAGCGTGGGAGCAACTCGAATAGCCTTCAATACTTTCGCAAATACATCGGACCAAGAGGCTAAGAGGCGTCGCATAGTAAAACTACGACTGCGAAGCCAGTTTTCCGACGCGGAAATAGTCTTAACTGCAATAGAGATCCCAAGCATCTGCCAAGACATCGCAGAGACTGCAATGGACGTAGCCTTCGTTGCGTCTTTCAAGAAGCTGGGAAATGATGTTGCCGATGAGCTCCAACATCCATCTATCATAACTAAGAGTGGCATCAGCGTACTTATTGGGTCCGATCAGATGTGGAAAGTATTGACCGGCGAAGTTTCACGGTGCGAAGGCAACGAATCATTGATCGCACTGAACTCCAAGCTTGGATGGACCTTCCAGGGAAGCACATCGCACTTGGTGTCCCGCCCAACTACTTCACAAATGATGGTGTGCGTGCTAAAAGCCCAAGCTACCGATTCCGACGAGATATTGCGCTCCTTTTGGGAACTTGAAAACATAGGAATTACGGACGCAATAAACAAGCCACCTGAAATGAGCGACACCATGAGGCATTTTGAGCAAACGATTAACTTCAAAAACGGAAGATATGAAGTGACCCTCCCTTGGAAGGACAATTTCGAGCTTGCAAGCAACAGGCAAGTAGCCGTTACTCGACTGGACAAGCTTGTCAACCGTCTCAACTGCAGAAAAGAACTGCTCGAAACGTATGACCATACCATAAGGGAGTACTTGAGGGCAGGTACACGCCGAAGTAGTCAGTGACGTACCTGCAGAGGTGACAAAATTATATTACATGCCGCACAAGGAAGTCATGCGTGAACAAGCACTGACGACGAAAATGAGAGTGGTGTTTGACGCTTCGTCACATGCCAAAGGATGCAAGCCCCTTAATGACTGCCTTCAAAAGGGAGACAACTTATACCAAGACCTCGTGCAAATTCTGCTACGCTTCAGAACGCACCCGGTGGTAGTTATCGCGGACATAGAAAAGGCATTCCTTCAAATTGCAATTCGGGAGGACGACAGAGATGCTTTCCGCTTTCTCTGGTTTGCAGAAGGAGATTTATGCAAGGGCAAGCTGCAAGAGTGGAGGATGACACGATTGCCCTTTGGAGCCACATGTAGCCCATTTTCGCTCACAGCTACTATTCTCTACCACGTGAAAAGAGCACCGCCGGTCATGGCACAAACTGCGCAAACTCTTGCCGAGTCGTTTTACGTGGATGACTTAGTCACTGGTGCCGACACAGAAGAGGAAGCCGCTAAACTATGCCGAGAAGCGCGCACAATAATGAAATCGGCCGGCATGACATTGCGAAAATGGACAACAAATTCAGAAAATTTGATGCGCACGCTTGAAAATCAAGTGGAATCTACTAGTAATGAGATGGTCGTTCTTCACGAGACTTCTGTCAAGGTCCTGGGTTTGGTTTGGAATCCTGCAAAGGATGAATTGAACTTTTCGGTTGAAAATCTACTCCGGTTTTTGACAGCACAGACGGGTACAAAACGATTTGTCTTGCAGTCAGCATCAAGAGTATTTGACCCGTTGGGATTTGTAGGACCATATACTATTGCCATACGAATATTGTTTCAGAGACTGTGGATACGAGGAATTGGCTGGGATGAAGTCCTACCCAATGACCTCCAAAAAGAATGGAATGATTCGGTCATCCAGCTGCCGCAACGGCAAGACGTCGTCGTTCCTCGCTATCTGGGCGGTGGAGCAAAGAAGACCAATGTGCTTCAAGTACATGTTTTCTGCGATGCCAGTCCAGTGGCATGCGGAACAGCGATATACGTCGTATCAAGTCCTGAGAAGCCGATACTGTTGATTGCGAAGTCCCGTGTAGCACCCATTAAGGAGACAACGCTGCCGCGATCGGAGCTGCTGGCTGCCTTAATCGGCTCAAGAATGTTGGCATACGTGAAAAGGGCTTTGAGGAATGTTCAAGTTGACTACACGATGTGGACAGATTCCGCCATTGTGTTGTCATGGATAAAAGGTGACGCCAAAAAGTGGAAACAGTTCATAGCCAACAGTGTCAATGAAATTAGGTGCACTACAGATCCATCAAAGTGGAGATACTGTCCTGGAACAGACAACCCGGCTGACCTACTCACACGTGGCGCGACGCTTGAAAGACTGCTGTGCAGCTCAAAATGGTGGCATGGTCCCGAGTGGCTAACTAAACCGATGTCTGAATGGCCCCTACAGTTCTGTGAACTAGACATAGCGGAAGCCACCCAAGGTGAAGTTACAACAGTCCACGTCGCACTAATGACACGCTTCTCAGTTCCGATAATTGATATTCAACGGTACAGCAGGCTTCACCAGCTACTCAGAGTCACTGCGTGAATTTTCAGATTTACTGACCGATGCAGAAAAAGAAGTAATCATACAGGACATCTCGTGGCACCAGAAATCCTGAACGCTGAACAGTATTGGATAAGATGTACACAAGAGCAAGGCTTTCTTGAAGAACTCACCACTTTGATCAACGGCCAACCAGTCGAGTCTACATCTCGAATCGCTGAACTACGCCCTTACATAGACAAATACAGAATAGTTCGGGTTGGAGGCCGTTTATCCCTCATGCATTCCACACAAGATGTCAAGCACCCAATCATAATGCCGTCAAGTCACCACTTTTCGACACTTTTGGCAAACAGAGCCCATCTTCAAGTCTTACATGGAGGAGTTAGAGATACACTTACGCACCTTCGGGAACGCTACTGGATTTGTCGAGCTCGCTCTTTGGTAAAAAGAGTGCTGCATGGCTGCAATATATGCAAGCGTTTCAGTGCGGGCCCAGGAACTGCTGAGACTGCTCCGTTAACAAGTCATCGAGTGACACCAACGAACCCGTTCGAAGTTGTAGGAGTCGACTTCGCGGGCCCTTTGTATGCACGCACGGAGAAAGGGGACACGAAGTGCTACGTTGCACTTTTTACGTGCGCCGTATCTAGAGCCGTGCATCTCGAGCTTGTCTCGGAAATGACATCCGAGGCTTTCCTGCTGTGCCTACGACGATTTGCAGCTCGGAGAGGATTACCTAGGATGATCTATTCTGACAACGCACGAAGCTTTCACAAGACATCGGCAGACATAAAGCGGCTAAACCGAATGTTCTCTGAAGAGGACGTCGCTGGTCACCTCAGCACCAACGGCATTACGTGGAAGTTTATAGCACCAAATGCTCCTTGGTGGGGTGGATGGTGGGAGCGCCTTGTACGATCAGTGAAGCTTCCGCTGCGAAAAAATATCGGCAAAGCTCGTCTGAACTACGAAGAAATATCGACAGTGCTGGCGGAGGTAGAAGCAGTCGTAAACTCTAGGCCTCTGACTTTCATCGAGACAGATGCAGGAGAACCTTGCACTTTGACGCCAGCCGAACTTCTCCTTGGACGAAGATTGACTTCCATACCGTATGCAACCGCTGACGAAGTCAACAGTAATTCCAAACGATCAGACGCCATACGCAGACACAACTACAGGAAGCTGCTGGTTGAAAGTTTTTGGAAGCGTTGCAGCAGCGACAGCGGGATGGTCACGTACTGAAGTGAATTCTGTCTTTCGTGCAGATACCGTATCACGCCCTTCCAGCGCGATTACCGGCACGTGTAGGGCATTCTGCCGCCGTGAGGAGGAGCTACCATAGGCCTTGACTGATCAAAGTCATCATTTGTGCTGATCTGTGAACCCGTTGAGGGCAGCCTGACGACACCGAAAGGAGCTTCCTGCGGCCCTACTGTGTGACGCTCCTGCTCTGAATTGCCACTTATAAAGCTACCGTCCCCACCAAGGCTCCATTGCAGCAGCGACAGCGGGATGGTCACGTACTGAAGTGAATTCTGTCTTTCGTGCAGGTTAGTAGATAAGTATTCTAAGGTAACCCTTCTGTTCAATTCACTGTTGCTGCTGCTACCGAAGTACTGTAGTTTTTTTTTCTTTTGCAATTTATGGTGTGACTGAAAATTGTTAAGCGATGCCGACGTGTGCCGAACTTGCGAAGCGCATTGATGCAATTGAAGCGAACTTTAACAATGAGACTGACCGTCTGGCTCATGATGTCTTCGGTAAAGTCTTGTTGAGAATGCAATCTTCAGGAATTGATGTTAAGGAGCTCAAAAGCGAAATTGACGATTTAAAACAGAGCATGGAAATCCTGAATGGCGTTGTTGAGACACCGCGCTCAGAAAAAGAGGTACTCGCTGCCGATAATACAAGACTGTTGAACGAAAACAACTTGCTCTCAAAAAAGGTTCAAGAACTTGAACAGTACTCCAGAATCAACAATGTAGAAATCAAGGGCATTCCCTGCACGCAAGGGGAAGACTGTGTAGCGATTTTGCAAAAAGTTGGCGATACTGTAGGTTGCCCCCTTGTGCCCTCTGACCTTGACATTGTGCACCGTGTCCCGACGAAGGTCAAGGAAAAAAAGAATGTTGTTGCTAGGTTTTGCTCGCGTTCGAAGAAGAATGAATTCATTTCTAAGGCACGTAAAGCTATGTTGTGTTTTGGGGATCTTGGTATCTCTTCTGCAATCAACAGCCCTGTGTACGTAAATGATCACCTAACGCAAACAAATAAATCATTATTCACCAAGGCTCTAACTCTAAAGAAAGCCAATAACTGGAAATTCTTATGGACAGAGAATTGTGCAATTAAGGCAAGGAAAACTACCGACAGTCAGGTTTACCGCATTGCTAAGGAATCTAATCTCTCTTTTATAATCTAGATATCCCTGTTTTTTTTTACGCATACGCTGTTGTTTTTTTTCACCATCGCTGTATCTGATTCACCATGTCAGTTTACCTAAACACTTCGGAGGTGGATCATTTTCTTTTTAACAGCTCATGTTCGCTTATTTATTTCAATGCTCGTAGTATGCGGAAACATTACGACGACATTCAAAATCTTCTCTCTACAATCACAAAGCTCTTTCCTATCATTTATATCACCGAAACTTGGCTTTCAGACACTGATAAAAATTTTTTCGGCTTCCCCAACTACTCATCTGAATACGCACACAGACCATCAAGCAATCATGGTGGAGCAGCCATCTATGTATTATCAAACCTGGCGTTCAAACGACGGCATGATCTTGCACTAAATTTACCTAACTGTGAAGCTGTATGGGTAGAATTTGATCATTTGTTGCCTAACATCGACAACAAAAATTTTATTTTGGGTTGTATTTATCGTTCACCCTCTACCTCCATTACCGATTTTTGCAACGCTTTAGACAATGTGCTTGAATCAATATCGTCAGAAAATAAAAATGTAGTTATCGTTGGTGACATGAATATCAACCTGCTTGATACCGCGTCCGCTAACTTCACGACATATTCTAGCTGCTATCACAGTTATGGTTTTTAATGCCTAATTACTCAAGCTACACGTCTTTCTCGTGACGGCGGATGCTCACTAATTGATCATGCGCTATCAAACCTTCTGGTCGCTCCTGAAGCAGGCATTCTTACCAGTGACATCACCGACCATTATCCCATTTTTCAACTCCTATTTCAACTCCTATTTGTCATTCCGCATGCTTTCATAAACTTGTTTTGGATAAGGAAGCACTTATCGAGAACATTACGAAATCAGACTGGCTTGCTGTAAGGGAAACCAACGACCCTCAAGAAGCATTCTCGCGCTTTTTTTCTTTACTTATACATTACTTCCATTCCCATTCGCATAGAAAAAAATGCAAGAAGACCATTGCGTCACCTCGAAACCCATGGCTAACTGATAAATTACTTAAAGCAATGCGTAGACGCGAGAATCTTTACAAAAAAACCAAGAAACAGCCTTTGAATGTTAAGCCAAGAGCAAGGTACAAGAAATACTGTAACAATCTCTGTGCGTACTTAAAAAGAGCAAAAAGAAAATACCTCGAACAGAAAATATTGGAATGTGGAAGTAACTCCGATAAAAAATGGAAATTAGTAAATTCCTTTCTAAATAGAAACGGCGACCGAGGAAGCATTACTTCAATAATTTATAACGGCATTGTGCACTCAAATCCACGTGACATTGCTGATACATTCAGTGACTTCTTTTTTTCGAACAATCTGCCATCGGACCAAGTTTTAGATTACGAAATCACTCGCTTACCCCAGTCCTTCTATTTGTTCCCCACTTCTGCCGATGAAGTAGCCGCGGTAATTCGGAATCTAAAAACCACTAGCGCTGGTCTAGACGACATCAGTTCATCACACATAAAGCTGATTGCTCTATCTTTATCTGACATTCTTGCACATGTCATTAATCTAATTTTTAAAAAGGGGACTTTTCCTCGCGAACTTAAGCGTGCTAGAGTTACCCCAGTATTTAAAAAAGGAGACCGATCATTGGTAACGAACTACCGGCCTATATGTGTGCTCCCGTTCCTCAGCAAAGTAATTGAGAAATTATTTGAAAAGTGCCTAACTAATTACCTTCGAATGTTTAGCATTCTTACTGATTTTCAGTTTGGTTTTCGAACAGGATATTCTACTTATCTCGCTTTATTATATCTTACTGAATTTCTAAAGCAGGCGATTGACGATGGCAGTTTAGCTGAATCTGTTTTTTGTTGACCTAACAAAAGCCTTTGATACTATTATACTATTAACCATCAGATACTCTTCATAAAACTGGAAGCAATGGGAATATGTGGTCCTGCTCTGTTATTTATTCGCAGTTATCTCCTTAATCGAAACCAAACGGTCAGTATTTTCGGTACCTACTCCAAACAAACAACAACGAACATAGGAGTACCACAAGGGTCCATTCTGGGCCCACTTTTGTTTTTAATCTATATCAACGATCTACCTAGTTTTATCATACACTGTAAATATTTGCTCTATGCTGATGATACGACGATTTTTAGTTCCGATAATAGCATAGACTGTTTAATAAATAAGCTGAGCACAGATCTTCGCAATATACTACACTGGTGTAAGCTAAACAAATTACAGTTCAATCCTCAAAAAACCCAATTCATTCTGTTTTCATCACATCAGCGATCGCTAGTAACGCCTCCCTCAATTAGTATCACAAATCATTCGATCCACGCTAGTAATGATTGTGTTTACTTGGGCGTCAAACTAGATAGAAACTTAAAATTCCACTCTCATATTTTAGATGTCAAGAAAAAGCTGTCTTACGGTATACGCATCCTCATTCGGTCTCGCCCCTTTTTTTTTCACGTTCCATTCTCTTGTCACTATACTACGCATTTATTCATTCTCACATCCACTACTGTATAACTACCTGGGGCACTACCTACAACACTCACCTCTCACCGTTACAGACTGTTCAAAACAAAGCAATTAAAATAGTCACTTCTAGTTCACATTACACCGATTCAAAACAACTATTCTACCGCTACAAAATCCTTACAGTGCGCGATTTGGTTAAGTATAATCTAGTCATTTGTTTATCCAAGCATATCAATAAGCCATTTCCCATTTCCATCATCCCATCCTCCTCACTTCTCAATACCAACAACACTAGATTTGCTTACCACAAAAACTTCATCTTACCGAAAGCCCGGACTAACTATGGCAAACAAACCGCTCATTTTAGCTCACTTTCCATATGGAATTCACTTCCATCCATCTTAAAAGTAATGTATCCACACTCGTTTGTAAAAGAATTAAAAAAGCTCTTTGTCAACCAATACAACACGTAGCACTTCATTCTCATAGCCCCTAAAGCGTGCTCTCACACATGTATGTATGTGTGTATATATATGTGTGTATATATTTATATATATTTTTTCTTTTTTCTCTTTACATCTCGTGTTTACATGGTTTCTTTATATTATGAAATGTGCTTGATCACCCATATCATTATGATTATTGGAATTTTTCCCTTCCTGTCGAAGCTATGTTTTATTTGTTTTTATGTTCATCATGCACAGGAGGTCCCAATTCAGTCTCCGACTACGGGACCTCCTTCTGTATACTGTCTGTAATGACTTTACTTCACAGTAACAATAAAATTTGATTCTGATTCTGAAAAAGAATACCTGTTGCAATTACGATCTGCACACTTTGCCGACACGAAATCAAATACAGCATTGAAGCAAGGGGACATCGTTCTCGTGCATGCGGACAACACTCCACGCCAGCTATGGAAGCTTGCAAGGGTCACGGAAGTGTACCGCAGTGCAGACGGTGTCGTTCGTTCTTGCAAGATCAAGTTGCAAGGTGGTCACCTTGCGATCAGGCCGATACAAAGACTGTACCCACTTGAACTATGTGTTTAACTTTGCGCGGCCGGGAATGTTGATTATTTTTCACGTTCTGGGCTGGGACAAGGAATCGAAGAAGAAGAAGAGCGCGAGCGAGAGACGCGGGGACGCTTAGGTGACAGCAGAGTGCTTCCGAACGCAGTTAAATAAACAAGTATTTTTGCCTTATACCTTAAAGACGGAGTTGAGTCTGATCGCAGTGTCTGGAACGCCATCGTCTAAACAACGTGGTATGATCAGTGTGCGCAAATAAGGGGCAAGAAAAAATAAAATTTTGAAAAAACCCTGTTTTATTGCACTTATGCGGTTTTTTTCACTACTACTAGAAGTTCTGGAACTTAAAACAATGTTGCAAACTTGCTTTCTGCGCCTGTGAGATCGTTCAGAAATGTAGTTCACTTAATACTTTGCTGTATGGTGAGATATTGAAGATAAACATTTTCTTATTAGAAGGAAAAATTGCTCATTGCCGTTCATACCAAGCATAGTTTCTAGTTATGCTGAAAGAAACAGTAAACAAAGAGAGAAAGAGAGACGCTGTAGGGCCTGATATGCGTGTCGCCTTTCATTCTGCTATCAAGTCAATAGATAATATTGCCAGGTACCGGGTCCGTTGTCACTTGATGTTTTGGTGGCTTTCTTTCTGAACCCCTACTTGATAATCCATTAATTCGATTTGAGCGTGTCTAACAAAGAAAGAAACGTTGATCCTGTCACCATTCTTTTGGTGCTTTCTTTAAATAGCTTCTCTATCCAGCTGTTTTTAGGACGTTGATTAGCAAATATATGTACTAGTATATTACTAACAAAAGCTACATTCATAAATGCTAATATTTCAAAAAGCAAACCTTTGGACGGTGATAGGCACGGGATGGATTGTCAGTAAACATTAGAGCATCGATGTGAGGTTCTAATGAAAACCAACAAATAATGAAGCCTATGAAGGTATAGGGGACGTTAATTGCTACTTTTAAGTTTATCCAGCTTATTCAGTTTATTTAGTGTAATTTGGTGGGGGGTTATATATGGAGAGAGGTATACAGAAAGAGGTCCCTTAGTGTAAACACTGCAATGGGACCTCTTGTTATAAAATACCCAAAGAAAAAATAAAAGAGGAGCAGGATCGCGTAAAAAAGCGTGGATATGCGTACAAAACAATAAAACAGGCATTATGGTATGCAATAACATAGAGATTATTTTACACAGAAAGGAGAATCAAAAAAAGGGAAGCTAATATACTGCAAATAAAGCAATCGATAGGAATAAACACTAACTGATAATCCAGAAGAAAAAGAAAGTAATAGAAATGGATAAAAAAACATGAAAATGTATGACACAAAAAAGGCAACGACAGTAACTACACATAAGTCAGAACTTAAAAGAAGGATTCAGATAAAGGCGAACTGAATGTTTAGAGGTATTTGATTGGGGAGAGCTTTTAGTTTCTAAAGGCAGAGTGTTCGATACCTTGATGACAGAGAAGCGCACCGTTTTTAGTCCGTAATTAGTGCGCGCCTTGGGCAATAAGATACTATTGTTTTGAGAGAAGAAACGTGTATTGCTAGAGGAAGTGGTAGTTTTATTGCCTACAGTACATAAAAGATCGGGAATATGTACCAGGTAGTAGGCAATTGCAGCTAAGTTAAAGACGATCATATTTGCAATAGGAAGAATATTTAGTGAAGAAAAAAGTGGAGCTGAATGGGCATGATAATCAATGTGCGTTATTATGCGGAGAGCCTGATTTTGAATATGCGCTTAATGGCTTACATAGGTTTTATATGTGAGTCCCCAAGATTCAATACAGTAGTTGAAATGACTATGAAGGAAGGCAAAATAGAGAGCAAATAGTGTAAGAAGAAGAAAAAAAATCGGCGGGCTCTGAGCAGAATTGGAATACCATAGGCGGTTTTTCTTTTTATTTACTCAATATGATAGTTGAAGTGTATGGAAGTGTGAGAGAAACGCGAGGAAAATTCAGTGGACGAGAAAACAACTTGCCGCCGTCAGGCACCGAACCTGAAACGTACGTATAACGCGCCCGATGCTCTGATATCAATGGCAGTCGTCCTCTTGTCCACTTTGGTGGGTATTTACGTGCGTGCTGATCTGGGAGTGCCAGCGCTCCTTGTAGCCGTGATGGCTCGGTTAGAATTCCTGGTAATGTACTCAAAGATAATATTCTTCAGAACTTTATTACTTGAAGGTTATGCATACAGACGTACACACTCACTCAACACACACGCACATACGCGCATACACGCACGTACACACACATGCGCTCGACGCCCACACCCCCTCCCCTCACACTCACTCCTGCACCCCCCACACGCATACACACACACATGCACGCACACAACCCATACACCACACACACGCACACGACGCGCGCCCACCACAATGCAAATACGCCACACACACAATGCACACGCGCACAGTACGCGCGTGCACACGCAACATACATACACCACACACACAACGCACGCACATATACACACGCACACAACGCAAACAGGCATGCACACGTAAACACGCACTCACATTCACACGCACCCAAAACGAAACAGTGGCGCTGACGACGAGGACCAGAACCTGCCCGTAGTGTCCATTTGATTGCTGCCGCAATAGAAAATCCTTCACCAGATATCTATCTATCTATCTATCTATCTATCTATCTATCTATCTATCTATCTATCTATCTATCTATCTATCTATCTATCTATCTATCTATCTATCTATCTGTCTATCTGTCTGTCTGTCTATCTGTCTGTCTGTCTGTCTGTCTGTCTGTCTGTCTGTCTGTCTGTCTGTCTGTCTGTCTGTCTATCTATCTATCTATCTATCTATCTATCTATCTATCTATCTATCTATCTATCTATCTATCTATCTATCTATCTATCTATCTATCTATCTATCTATCTATCTATCTATCTATCTATCTATGACTTTTAGCTCTCCCGGCCACTTCGATATTGGTATGATATAAAACATGGTGTGCCCTAACATGAATGTATGACAAACATAAGTGACGGATCATAACATGAAAATCACCACATGTATGTCATGAATGTCATGATTTATGTTTCATGGTCTTGCTGCTCATGCGGTGGTTTTGTTCACATGACAAGTTGCAAAACTGGCATGGTGTGACATGACTGCATCGCGGACACAAGCAACAGACTCCAACCATAAAACCATGACATGCGTGTCATGTAACAACATGACTACATGCAGCGCTTATGATAAGCTCGCGGTCGTTTCGCTAGTTTCACATATACCAAATTTGGAATTACGGGACGTGAATGGATGATGATGGTATATATGTGACTGGTGCAAACATGATAATCATAAGATGCGTGTCATGTAACAACATGACTACATGACAGATGCCACGCTCATGTTGCACTCGCGGCTGTTTCGCTATCTTCACATATACCAAATATGGTATTACGGGACATGAATGTATGAATAATGTATGTAACTGGTGAAAAAATAAAAATTATGAGGTGCGTTTCATGTAACAACATGACTACATACTACGCTCAAGTAGCGCTCGCAGCCGTTTCGCTAGCTTCTTATGTACAAAATTTGTATTACGTGATGCAAACGGACGACAAAGCTTAATGACACGTCCAAACATGATAATCATGACATGCTTGTTATGTAACAACCTGACTACATGCGACACTGATGATGCGCTCGTAGCCGTGTCGCTAGCTTCACGTATGCCAAATTTGGTATTACGTCACGTGAAGGGATGACGAAGGTATGTGACTGGTGTAGACATGATAATCATAAGATGCTTATCATGTAAGAACATGACTACATGCCACACTCAAGGCACCAGTAGTCTTCGACGTGACCCGGCATGCGTGTGCGCCGGCGTTCGTTTCGTCGCGTCACGCCGGCGATGTCACGCCAGGCGCCGATCGCGCGCTGCGTGGCGTTGACCTCGACGCATTGCCTCGGGGTTGCCCTCGCCCGGCATACGTCATCAGCGCAAAATGCAGCATGTTGCGTTTCGCACTGGTTGCCGCTGGACCGTGCCGACGGACGCTGACCGCGCCGGTCGCGCCCGATGTCAGACTTAATTGTGCTTGCGTTTTGCTAGCGTATATAGCGTCACTGCGCCAAGCCTGCGCGCTCGTCAACGTTGCGTCGGAGTATATTGGGCCCTTTATGATGCGCCCGAGGCCGTTTCGCTAGTGCCACATATACGAAATTCGGTGTTACGTGACGTAAATGTATGGCGAAGGTATATGACTGGTGCAAGCACCATAATCATGGCACGCGTGTCATGTAAAAACATGAGAATATACTACGATCATGATGCGCTCGCGGCCGGTTCGCTAGCTCCACATATGCCAAATTTGGTATCACGTGACGTGACTAGACAACGCAGGTAAATGACACGTCCAAACATGATACTCTTGATGTGCGTGTAATGTAAAGCATGACTATACATTTCACGCTCATAGCGAATGTGCTTACGGCCGTTTCACTAGTTCCACATATACCAAATTTGGTACTACGTGAATTGAATAGACGACGAATGTAACTGACAGGTCAAAACTTGATAACCATGATATGCGTTTAATGTAAAATATCACTACAAGCTAAGCTCATAGCGCGATCACGGCCGTTTTGCTTGCTCAACATATACGAAATCTACTATTACGTGACGTGAATAGACGACGAAGGTAAATGAGACGTGCAAACATGATAATCATCGCATGCGTGTCATGTAAATCTTGACTACATGCTACGCTTATAGCCCACTCGCGGCCCTAATATTACTAGCTCCACATATACCTAATTTAGTATAAGTTGACGCGAGTAGACGACGAAGGTATTTGGCACATCCAAATATGATAATCACCACGTGGAAGCCATTTACGGCACAATTTACCGCGGCCTCATAACGTTGTACTGATTTTAAAGTGACATATCAACCTTCCTCATTCGTGCTTTGCATATCATTGATTCCCACTACACGTGGGATCTGCCAATTTTTTTGCACAAAGCTATTTTATGCCGCCTTTAACATTGCATCACGTTGTTTACAAATGCGTTTTTTTAGCAATAGTTGCACGCATGTTGATTGGCGTACTTTTCTATGGCTGTGTGTTTACGAAATTGTGGTGTTTCTCTGTAGTTGAATTGTTGTATGTGACTTTCTGTTTTGCGGTTTTCTTTTGAAGAGTGCGTGCTTTGGACGCGAAGAGCCCTGAAGGATTCTGTTCCACAGCCATGCATCGACCAATTTGTGGACACTTGTGGCGCTGTGGTGCCTAAGCATAGCCGAGATCTATGCAACGATGGAGAAGGAGATTACTAAAATAAATGGACCCCTATTTTTCGATTACCCCGCCGTCCAAAAAGTGAAGTACTATATTCGCGCAAATTTTTAGTTAATAAACATATTTTCTAATCACCTTTAGTTGTTTTGCATAGTGCTGATGGCTTCGTCATATTGCCACACGCGTTTCTTGTTTTAGTTTTGCTGTATTCAGTTTACGCCTGCAAAGACAGTAATGCAGGGCGTAGACCAAGCCTTAGTGTTTGAGAACCCTCACAAATGTAGTAGATTGTTGCCTAGAAGTTGTAGTAGACGCACTGGCTACGCCTCTGAGTTAGGGCAAAAAAAAAAAATGAGTTTCATCAATATTCTCGCAGTGTCCAAATCGTGGGGGTGTCCAATTCGGCCTCCGCTGATTGGTTGGAGCTGGCGAGCAGGGCGCGGCCTGTTTCCGGTCTTTCTTCCGCGACGTCATTCTGACGCCACGCTGCTTTCCCAACTCTCGACACCAATCATAAAGACGAAATACGTTTCGCAGCAACGAATGCTGCTCCCTCAGATCCGCTTTCGTACGCAACTCTCCGAGGCTTTGCATGAACTCTACCACGTTAACCCTTGAATTAAGTTTAGGGCGGCAGCCGGACACCCCTGAGAGGTCGGTACGCATTCCCTGCATCGCTCTTCAAACCTCTCAAATAGCTCATACCCACGATCAGACTTGCCAAGTTTGCGAGTTCTCTTACTCAACGTTTCGTCCATTTAGTTTATTTTTACCCCCCGGAATTGTGCTAGCGGGTTCGGTGCGCTGACGAGGCCAAGTGCACCATGTCGTCATGACTCTCCGTTTTTTTTGGCCAAACTTAACGCGTTTCACCGAATTGGACATGTCCACGAATTGGACACCGCGAGACCTGTACACACCAACTGCGGCCATCGTCTCTACGTCCCGACCCCGAGACAATATACGCTATATTGGGGCGCTTTTATTGCTTTGTAAACGTTGGCTTCTATTCCGTATACGTATTCTTCAATTGAGTATTTTTCAAATCAATAAAACTTTATATGTAATGTATAGAAATAGCCTAGTTCTCTGAGATATATTTAAAAAAAAACTCAACAAAATTTTATATATTTTAGTTCGGGTGTCTGTACGAACAAGGTTTACATTCTTTAGACTTCATGTTATTATATCGATAGCTGTACTCCTCAAGGCGGCGCCCTTAAATGACCGCCTGACGTTCTCCAGCGTGTAAGCCCATCGAACACGTTCTTCGTTCCACGCACCCTGTGCATAGTCATAACGTCGGTCGCATAGCTTCAGGAAAATGCTAGTGTGGTGTGTAGCGAAAATAAACGGCTCAAGTTTTCTACCATGGCTCGTGTCACTTTAATCACGTCGCAAATATTCCCGTGTGATACTTTTTCACAATATAATAGATTATCAACTTTTGAGAGCTCAGTTCATGACAACTACGTCCTATCGATCAGCTAGCTCGTTTAGATCACCACCATAATGAACACGCCATTAGCCGCCGTAATACACTTGCCACCATGCCTTCGTCCTGCGCACTTTCAACGATGAACCACCTCCCCTCAGGCATTGTTTTAATTTCAAATGAAGACCTATTTTTTTCTTCCATACAAGATCGATTACTTGCGTGATGACGCGTGAGGTGTATATTGCACATACGTATTATTCGCATTTTCTTTGCCCTGTCGCCCAATCGCGGGGGTCTAGTGGCTAAGGTATACTCGCCTGCTGACCCGCAGGTCGCGGGTTGGAATCCCGGCTGCGGCGGCTGCATTTCCAATAGAGGCGGAAATGCTGTAGACCCGTGTGCTCAGAATCGGGTGCACGTTGAAGGATCACAGGTGGTTGAAATTTCCGGATCCCTCCTTTACGGAGTCTCTCATAATCATATGGTGGTTTTGGGACGTTAAACCCCACATATCCTATCCATTTTTGCCCTATGTGTTTCTGATCATACTCACGCTTGCATTCAGCTGTATTTATACCTTTGAATTTCAATATGTCTTGCAATATTTATTACATAGAAGTTGCTTTGTTTGCTTTTTCGAAGTTTATTTTACATGCCACACTCTTTCAGTAAAGCTATCTACGATTGAGGGCAAAATGAATGAAAGGAAAGTATGGCCACCTATCTTCAAGCTTCGTTGCGAATTTCCTCTTTAACCACCCTGCCGTTCTTTTCCTCCGATTTTCCTTCCTTCCTTCCTTCCTCGAAAGATGATAGTCTTCTGCCGGCCAATTGACCATATATATTTTGCCTTGCCTCAGACAGCGCCTCCTCTACGTAGAAGCGGCCGCATCACGCTGGCTTTGATAAAATAGAGGAGACACTGCGTATGAATGCAATATGTCAGTGCCGTCGCCGGGAAACTTGCCGCTGAGTTCCACTACCAAGTGCTAGCATGATAATTTCGGCAGAGTGCTTTTTCGTGCACAGCATCACATTTTCAGCGTGGCGCAAGAAACACCGGCTTTTCGAGCGTAGCGGCGCATTTTTGTGGCAGCGTAAGGAAAACGCTGGGGTGTTTTTCTTACTCTGTACTATAGTTCCGTGTTTGCAGTTCAGGAGAACCAAAGAAATAGGCACCTGCTTGGCTGCACATGAAAATGAGCTTCGCACCAAAGCGCTGTTAACGGTCGAACTCCTGTGGCCCAAGCACTCAAGCTCGAGTATCACTCGTGTGTTGCATGCGAGAAAGAGTGCATCCTAATACCGGCAAGAAGCAAATGTCCGCTTGAAAAGAACTTCCCGTGAGTCATAACGTGTTAGTCATAACTAACACGTCGATGACCAATACTAATGCTTTGCTTTTGGTTGCTAAGCAAATAAAAAAAACAGCGGTCGTATTCAGGTAACACGTTTTTTTGGAGAAAGGCATGGCATAAAATAGACTTGTGGTAATGGGCCACATCAAAACGGGAGCCATGATAGCGCAGCGCAATATGTCTCGTACAGACATAAGACAGGTTTAGTTTGGCGCCCACAGCAGCTGTGCGGACGCAGTGGTCGAGGAATATCCCATGGCAAGCTGCATACGCAGAGCTGTTGCGGACGCTCAACAAAATGTGCCTATAGAACGAATGCTGCGGGAACTTGTCGCACAACGTTCCCCTTCAGGGGGGGGGGGGGCGAAGGGTCCTCGGAGCTCCACTTCCCTATTTAACAATGTATAGGGTGGAGTGTGAGCCCCTCCCCGAGTAGCAGTGACCCTCTTTATTATCCCAATCTGCGGGGCTGTCCTTGTGCTCCTCCTTTTTATGCAACCAAGAGAGCGGCTGCCCTATCTCCCCTCCCCCTCTTGTCGTTCACATGCATATGGTGGTCACATATGTGCATTTGAATTGGGAAACTGTGGTACAATGCAGAAATAAACATGTGGAGGACCATTGAGCTCTGCCTACAAGAGTAGGGGGCGATGGCGCGATCGGGCAGTGTGCGCATCGCATCGCCTTCTGAACTGCTAAGCTGCTTCAGTTCCCGGTGCATGCCTCAACCATACCGCAAGAAAACGAACGACTGCGCATGCAACATTGGCCGTTTGACGGTATCTTTGAATTACTAATACAACCATTGTTTTCAAGTAACGCTGCTCCACAGTCATTTCTTTTGCGAATTAGTGAAGGCGCCACTACGCGTTCGTATAGGACAACACGTGATTCTGTGTCCCATACGGCTCACCTTATCTTCGCCTGCGTCGCCATCATGAGCACCAGTCGGACGTCCTTCTTCAATGAGTGTACGTACAATCATGTTATAGACCTTCCCATTGCCACCCCCAACAGCCAACTCCCGCCGCTGAAGATGCAGAACTCTTTTGCAAAGGTGCGGCAAGCTGGTCGGGTTGGTCAGATCAATTATCTGTCGCAGACACCTTCAGGGTGCCGTCTGCTACACAGGCTTGGCCTCGACGCCACCTGTGACCAAGACACTTCAACACCGGAGCCGAAACTTTGGCTTCAAAAGCTACATTTCGGTCGTCGTCTAGCATGCTCCGTCGCCCTTCAGGCGCGGCACTCCTGCCGCCCTGGCGTTTTCTACGTTGACATTTTTTACGTTCCAAGTCATTTCACGGTTGCCGTGATCACAGAGAGAAAACACGTCTTCATTAGCTAAAGCCGACACTGTAACCCAAGCTGGAGATGCTGCTATCGCCACGGCACGGCCTGCTGAACGGATACGTTTTCAATGGGAGAACGCGTGTTACACGGCGTTTCGAGACGCTACTGCGAGGGCGCTGCACAACGGTAAACCACAATGAATGTTCAGGGCGTTGGCCATGGCGAGCGCTAGTAAATGCTCTTGCTGGAAAACAGCAGCCGTACACTTACTTAGGTGGTAAAATTGGCCCCATATCTGCATGTTTCACTGCAAATGTCGCCGAAAGATGATAGTATTCCTTCTAGAGAGAGTGAATAAAACGTTTATTTGATGCGCTCTGTACGACAAAATTGGCGAAAAAAATACTCGATGCGGGTAGCAGAGGTGAACGAGCTCATCAAAGCACTCTACTTTACTTCATTATACGTTCTGCGCTGCCTACGCCACGTGAAACTTGAACTTCATCTGGCAGTTATCTTGAAAAACGTAAACATGGCCTCTGATATAGCAAGTGCGTGCGGTGTGTGCGCGGTCATCGGAGGCCGTGTTGTGGAGAATGCAAGACGATGGGTGGGCGCCAGAGCAGTTTTATCTTAGCAAAGCGTAGAAACACCCGCCTTTTCGCGCATAGCGTTGTCAGTGCAGCGTATTAAAGGCTACGCTCCTTAGTATAACTTACGTGTGCCTTTTAGTATAAAAAAAAAACATGCCACCATATACTAATATACTAACGTGATGTTTTGCCGCATGGTATGCGCAACATTTGCTTTTTATTCGATAATACGCAGAAGTATGAACGCCCAAACCAGAGCAATGTTGATGATCATTTTAAATGAATAATATCGCAAAAAATATTGGCTAAATGTCTCTTCTGATGCAATATGAAGTGGCGTTGTGGATGCGATTGAATTGTAGCCGTTTCGGTTGACAGATAAGTCGACCGACGGGCAGACAGACAAACCAAATTTTCGCGTCGGACTTTCCCAAAAAAGACTATATCTATTGAC